CGATTAATCGCCATTCGTATTTATCGCATGATTCTTCGACATAAAGTACAGGTTTTGTGGTGTGCAGCTGTTGGTTGCAAACGTCGATTTGCATCTTGACTTCTCGTGCTACTGATGCCAGAGTACTTACTCTGCGTCCATTTCGCCGGTATTATAATTTAATGATACAATTCGGAAATTCACGTGTAATTTGTATGACGTGCTGCTATAGCCAATATGCAACCGTTTAATTAAACGTATAATGAGCCTAACGGATCTTCGATTTCCTCCGATAAAACTTGTTTACTTCCTTTTTCTACGCTAACGGCGAACATCAACTTTGTTTACCGTCCTTTTGGCACGACCTCGCCGTCATTCGTACAAAACTTTAGTATTTCTGTGTTTTGTATTTCATTTTAAGCTGTTCGAATGCCAGCGGAATGCGTAAAAGGCCATTTTCTCAATAAAGCACGAAACGCGCCGGTAAAAACATACGAAAAAATACGGGCGCGCAAAGAAAGAAGAAAAATACGGCAAAAGAAGCCGAAGAGTAATTTCAGAAAAGAGAGGAAATGGGTAAATTACAATGGCTATCTGCTTTCAATGCGTTCATTTCCTATGTGCGTCGTGATCAGAAAATCGTTTGAGACTTCCCTTTAATCAATTACTTGACCCGAATGCTCACCAAATCATCATTATTGGAGAGTTGCCCCAACATCCCGAGAAACGGAGCACGGCATACGAAATGCGAGCGAGCGAATTGAAATGACAAGGATGCGCGTAAACCCATCAGACGTAAAGATGTGTCGGACAAGACGCAAAAAAATACATCCAACTGAAATCTTCATTATGTTTCGAGATAATTATGTTTTGCTATGTTCTATAATACGCTTTTTGTCGTTTCGGATATTTTTTCGCATTACTCAATCATGCAATTTGTATATTACCTATCTAATGATTGATGCGTTTCCAAAACATTTCAATCCATGCCCGAATTTAATATTTAGCAATGCGCTGGATTTAATCAGCTAAACGATATTGATGCCAGCGTCGTAAATTTCAACCGAATTGGCTTCCACAGCACCAACTGGATTATTAATAATATTTGTAACACTGAAACTATCCAAACAGGTTCGCAATCAGTGCGGTGATAAAAATATCATAATAACTGCGGAAGTAAACTATGAAAGCGCAGCAATTCGCAACGTTTTGTCCGCATGACGCCGCTCGTTTCGCCGGAATTGGAATCGAGCGCGCAAATGATAAGTGGTTGAGTAAATAATCGACAAATAAAATAAAAAAATGCGCTGGGAATAGCACGAATACGAGTGGAAGCAAAAAAAAGTATACAACATATCCGTCGAAGAGAGAAATATGAAAGACACAACTGAGTAGTTTCGTCCTTTGCGGCGTGCACACATAAAAGTTCGATTCGTTTGGAATACAATCTGAGAGTAGATTCCCAGTACAAACATTTACTCTGCGAGAAGTTGATACTCCTATCTGCAAAGCACACGGAGAGTGTAGACGAAATTTGCGCTAAAAAGCACATTTCGTTTCCGAAGGAACCGTTGTTTGCTGCTGCAGAAGCTCCCTGAGAACTCTTCTTCTTCGTTGTGTTTATTGGCTTAGGCAAGCGAAAAATGCCCAAAACACACAGAAATACTACGCTAGTAACTAACTTGCTAGGAGGAGCATATTTTCCAAAGAGTAACATACTCAAATATCGTTAGCAGATATTGTTTGATTGGACATTCAAGATGACAAACAAGAAAGACTAAAGCATACACGTAAAAAATCACGACACTAATTTTCAGGATCATTTATTGCCGCAATAAAATACGCCTAGAAAAAGAAGTTGCACCCAGATGCTTAATAAATTTAACTGCGCATCACCCAAGCGTGCAAGCAATGAATGGCTCATTTTAATCCCTACACCTGAAAACACACATTCTAATTTTTTGCTCATGAATATCACACTCAAACGCGTTACATTTTAAACACGCATTTAGTAAGCCGCATTGAAGCGTCACAGAAAAAAAACATCATCACGCCGACGTGAGTCATCTAATTAAGCGTTTATCCTGCCATTCGTTGCTTCTTCACACTCGATTGCAATTGCTAACCGACTTATACGCAGGCGGACGTCTTGTGACAATAACAATGAGTGTCAGGCTTCATTACTGCTGGTGATAAAAACCGTATCAAAACAAGCGACAAAAAAATGCACAACTTGAAAAAATTATTCATCATTCTGCAAGACAATGCAAGACAATGAGGGCACATATTATTGTACACGTAATCTTCATAGACTGCATTGTAATTTCCCTAACAGATTTTTCTTCAGGAGTTGTCTTCCTCTCATTGACACGGTTTTTATGCATGGCTAGAGTAAAAAGTAAACGATGTGGTACGATACCCAAAGTGCAGTCAAAACAATATATACGAGTAAACGAATGCAAGCAGCTTTTATACTCTGTAAATGGCACAAATGTGGTTTTAAATTGATTTTCAATTGAACACGTAAAGAGAGCAAAAGTGCAGACGGTCGTAAAAGTGTGATAAAAGTCATTTTGCGATTGGTAAACCTCCCCAAATAGAGATTGTCTAACAAAAGATTCAACTTCAACATAAAGCACATATTTTTTTGAAAGTGACAGGATGTTACCAAAGCATACAAAACAAGATGTAGTACGCCAAAATGATAATTATAATATTAAGGTCTCGTAATAACCATTATTATCAAATCAGTGTAAATGTATAATCACTAAGCGTGCAAAAATCTCCTGCACCACTATTGCCGCATATATTAACATCGCTAATAACCCGGAAAAACAGCGTCTTATTTGCACGCACACATTTATGCTAATGAATCATTACTACAAAAAGCGAGTAAACAAGCACAGAACGGCACTAAAAAGACACTCAGCGGGTTGGTACACTGAACGTGCTGCGCTAGATTGCCGCCAACATTGACGAAGACGTACGCCGGGGCACTTATTACATGCAAAGTGTGTACGTGATGGTCATACGATGTATGAGTAATATTGCAGTTAGAATTCAACGGCCACCGCGCAACGTTTGCGTCATTTCCTCATCTTGTTCTTTGTCACTCGACATAATCGACTGAGAATACATTACTGTTTCCTAAATGACGTACATTACGGTTCAAAGGTACCTTCAAAAAATTTCAAAATGGCGGGATTCTACAACTCTACAGTGTAATATTTAAAATTATATTATTTGACGTTCACAATTACCGATATTTAAACACAGATTTCATTTGCATTTAATTAATAAAACTTTCTGTATGAAATATAATTATGATTGAAAATTTTGCGAGCCGCGTATGAAAACAGCCAACAATGGTGGGCATTATGCCGCATAAATCATCATCAGCATTCAAATATTTCATTACAAGCGTCAAAAGTTAGTTATCTATCGGGTTTGCTCAAATGGTAATGCGAAAAACAATTGATTAGCAATTGGTATTCCGCGTGAGCCGTGCAAACTGCAATGCAAACAAAGAAACCTGTGATTTATCCGCGTGCATTCGTGGATTATTATAATTGCAAATAGCATATACCTAAACGCATTCAGTTTTGTATTCCGATGATACATAAATATCCTGAAAATCAACCGAATTTAATAACCTGTTATTAAAGCCGTGAATAATTAAAATTAATGCATAAAAAGCCAGCTTAGCGTAATATTTAGTGGTAAATGTATACATTTAGTTTATTCTCGCGTATATATAATCAATTTTCCACTTCCGGGTGGAAGAAAACTTCCACACGCCCTTGTTAACATATTGACCCATTTTCTCTGTAGCCACTTTATCCTTCGTTCCATTGTCCGTTCGCACTCGCATCTAAAATTACCGTATGAAATGACGCATGAAAAAAAAAAGGATCTTCGCGACGATTCGCTTACAAAAGAACTTTCAAAGTGTCCACTCGTCATTTGCCTTACAATGGCTGTGTGGCGGACGTGCTACGTGCGACTTTTCCAATTAAAAAACTCCAAAAAGGACCATGCGCCTCTCTAAGGACCCGCGCGCACACGAGTGCGGAGAATTGCTTTTCCTTCCAGCATGCGCGCTCACCACTTAGCCCTGATGTGCATACTGTTAACAACGTTGCAAAGCAACCATGCACGTTTTCCAACCCAAGAGTCTTACTATCGCTACTGTGTCCTGTGCTCCTTGCTTTCAATAAAATCACGTTGTTATTCTAAACGAGCTCATATCCCCACACCTAGTCGAGTAATCAAAATTTAGGGTTTGATCTAATTCCAACCAACTTTATCTTTAATATTTTAGTTACAGAATAACTGATGAATCTCGAATTGGAAAGGACGAGTGTACAAAGTTAGATGAAAACCGACCGGACAGGACATAATCCGCAAGGGACTTTCTCACTCAAAATATGGGTTAATCGATACACACCGACTGCGTTCATCCCTTCGTCATCTGTTTGAATCTGACTCTAGCCGCAAGACAGAAGTGGCAGGACTTTAATGACTGAGCATCTGCCGAGAAGTAACAAACAACCCATTCCGTCAATACTACGTTTTTTGTGTGCTCTGTGCTCATCTTTTGTTCTTGTTTTCTTATTTTCATCTCCACAGAAGTTTTAATTTCTTTCCTTGGTGGCTTCTTAACTCTCAAAAGATCTAACCTAACTTCAAGACCATGATATCCTGCGAATTTTACTTCGGCGCTTCCGTAATTTTCCTTTTGAATAATTAAATGTGTTCACAACAAAAAATACGAGTCAAAGCAAAATTTAGATAATTCACGAAACGTGCATTGCAATAAATTATTCATAACCGTAAGACTAATTAATAGGCGGATTATTGTTAATGAATGCTTCTTTTCAGTCTTTACAAGGCGCCTGCTGGCTTTCCAGCCCTAATTAGAATTGTTAAACATTCTTTTTCGTTACGAAATAATCTTCAGTGGGAAAAGATCTTTCAAGAACCCATCAACATAGAAATTATTTATTAAAAATTCCACTCACCAGTAGGAAGAAACTTCATCTTGAAGCACGTGTCAACTAGTCGTCCTGATGAAATAATGAAAATCCGGCGTCAGTTTTTCATCAATCTTTCATTTAGAACCTTCTGAAATAAAACAAACACATTTTGATTATTAGCTTTGTATCAATGGAAAATCTCTTTTGTTAATAAAAGTGCAATGTAAACGCAGCACTAGATGAAACAAAAACGTAATTTAATTGTCCTAAAAAGGGTTTTGATGTAGCTGTTTTTAATACAAACAATATGAAAAAAGCCGCGTACATGTGTAATTCTCCGGACGCGCGTATTTGAAAGCCACTTTCATTTGCAAAGTGTACGTATAAATAGGCTATCACAACACCGAGTGGAAAATGAAAAGCTCTCCAGAAGATGCAAATAATTCGCACTGTAGCTGGTCTCCACCAGGAACATACCAGCATGAAGAGGAAAAGCTTTTGGTAATTAAAACAGGGGAAAAATTTAGTTGCATACTGATCAAGCACGCGTTGTAAGCACCAACAAAAACCTAAAATATTCTTTGTTGAGGTCGCAAGCGCACCCGAAACTAAGCTAATTAATTAGCCAAAGCAAGTTTCTTTTGCACTTGTTCTTAAAATCTCTTTCAGGCAGTTTAATTTAAATAAACGGAAATATTAAGTGCGCACCGCAATTTATTCCCAGCGAGGACGATAAACAGACATTGTTAAAACATTAAATTAATTACTCGAAAGGGAAGATCCTAATTAAATGGTAGCTGAGACACTATTAAGGCCCAAATGCACCAGACGCACGCAAATAATAGAAGTTCATGAGAACAAGATCCTTCGTTGCGATACATACGATTTGTAATTATTAAGAATTAACAGCGAGTTAGTTTACGAACATAGTTCGCTGCGCGCATTATTTTTTCCTTTTTTATTCGCGTCTACTAATTCTATTCAGCGTTCGGGCGGCAGTTACTACACGCGTGTGAGAAATTGTAAAACACCGTCCATTCAATTCTGGTTCGCTCGGCTTCATTCAATTTGTGCCCGCGGTGGCTCGACACGAGTTTTATGAATGAGAAAAACGAAAAAAAATTATAATCTTAAGCGTTACTGTGCGAGGATGAGTCCGCGAGCGAATTGAGAGGAAGCGCAGCGTGATATTGTTTTATGTTCAATGCTCCGCGTTTTCTTCATTAACGTGCTCGTGGTCGGAGTAAACTTAGCGTCATTCGGTTCGTGGCGGTTATATATTAACATCCAGATTCCCATGGAACTCAAGATCCCAGGAAGCGTTAAAATACACGCAGCAACAGAGCATTAATCGCACAAAAGGTTTCTTAATTTCATGTTTTGTGTGATACAATTAAAAATGACGTAATTACTACCTCTTTGCTTCTTGTTCTTACTTCCATGGCCTCCGTTGAACTGTGAGTTTAATAAACTTGTAATTAAACAGATAGCAAAGATATGTATATCAACACATAAAATCGTAGGCTGTGATGAGATGATGGTGATCTCAACACGTCAACATGCTTCTCTTTGTGGAAGGTAGAAAAGCAAGAAGATGGAAAGGTATGATGCAGAAACTGACATCCTTGGCTGTAAAGACTCATCCTTTAGTAAGTCAGGCCATGATCACGGCACACAGGTTTTCTTGCGACGCGAGACGTATCTGTATACAGCGAGTACTGCTTATTTTCCTGCTGATAGGAACTTAAAAGTGTATTAAAGTCTCCAAGTTTTCGCCTCGGTCGACTTCCCAAAGGGTTTGTAATTTTCCACATTACAAGCAGTTACTAAACGAGGCCGCCCCCGGTAGGTGCTCCTCACTTACGATTAGAGACGGAACGAAACGATAAGTTCGGAATATTCTATAAGTTTCCGTATAGCGCACATCGCTCGGCTTCGTGTTTTGAAAAATTATCCAACGAAAGTTTCGCCTGCAAGAGCAGCGGAACAAAAAAGTTGCGCGCAGAGCGGAAGAGGGGAAAGGCACGGAGGGTTAACCGGTAACCAAGTTTTATAACTTTGCCAATCGAGGCCAATCAATGGATTCTCCTTTACACTCAAATAATTTCATTTAGCTAAAGAGAGACGCCACACAACTGTGCACAAAAAATAAGAAAAAATAAGCGAGAGGAAAAGTTGAAGAGCGCAAATGAATCTTGAAGGAACAAAAAAAAAAACGTAAAATGCAAAATTAGCAATCACCTTATCTCGCGCTTTAAAAAGTACAGGATAAAGCGGAGCGCGAGTTAAATAAAAGAATTCGAAATAAGCGAGCGGGAGCTTTTCATAAATAGCAGAAAAAAAGTGTACAGTGCAATAATGATGCAACAGAGCGGCGAAATTAAGCAAAATTTACGCAAATTTTAAAAAAGCTCATTCAGGTTCTATTTAATTATTTGTTTAGTTAGTTAAAAACATGTCATGTGTGCCACATTTTTTATCTATCGGCATTAAATTGAATACTAACAAATTTAATTGCATTTCAATTTCAGCTCACACAAAGCTCAACAAAAAATTATAAATTTTATTTATGTATACGCACGTTTTTATTAAAATATTTATTATTTTAGGTTCATGTTCATGTCAGAGGCAGTGATGAACAAAATTTATAACGTATGAATATAGAGAACAATAAAATTAAATAATTGCGCGTAACAAATGTGTTTGTCAGACATTTGTAATACGTCTTCGTATAATTATATTTTTTTTTCAATAATTTTTGTTGGTTGTGCATGAATTTGTCTAGAGCCTGATTTCCGCACCGGTTCAGCGACGGTTGTTAATCTCGCATGCATCATGGCAGGTGCTCGTTTACGAAATCGAGTCTTGGCTTTGCCCTGCTTGGGCTTGGCTGAAGTTGGCTCGTGAATGTAATCAGAACACAGAGGCACACACAAGCGAAGCGAATGCGCGCAGCTTGCCGCAACCGCTAGCAACAGACTCCGAACATTTCTTGTAAGCAGAAACGGATGAAAACGTATATAAATATGCATACGAATTGAATAGATAATTTCGAAAACAAGCGCGTCTTGCAGCTCCACCGCCGCTGCAAAAATATATATCCAACGATGCAAACATTGCCGACCCCGACATTTTCGTTTTGCGAGCTTTATCAGCAAACTTCTAGCGCATAGCGATGAAAAATTTGATATTGAACAGAAAACAACTACAAACCGTTCTCAAACACTGAATTGAATCGATAACTCTATCTATCAACGTAATAACATCCTCCTGAAATTTAAAATACAAAGTTTATTTTAATACTTAGGGTGACTGCACCAGTAACAAACCAATTAAGCGACATTTTGAAAGTAATTTTTATATTGTGACTCATTTATTACAACAATCATTGCAAAAAAAAGAATTACATACTCTTTGTTTACCATAGAATAATGTAGCTTATTTCAATTTTCTTAATAGCTGTTGGGTTTGTTGTTATTTAACAATAAATGTGGAAAATCGCTATGTGCCTAAGGTTGACCAGACTGTACCAGCAGTATACCAGACGTTGAGCCAATAGTGAACCACTTTTTTTTAAGTAATAATCATCACAACTTTTCATCAGTCTACAAGTTTCAAGTAAAACTTAAATGCTACAAGGCACATATTGTTGTTAACTAATTTTAACTAGATAATTAACTAGATAATTAACAAAAATTCGTATCACTTACACAAGTGTTATAATTATAACACAATATTTATGAATTAACATAAATCAAAAATTTAAAATAAATTAAAATAAAAAGAAAACAATGAAAGTACTTCTGAAAAAATTATTATTTATTATTATATTAACTTTATTTCATTTGTGACCGTAGTGTGGGGTAAGTTGTGTTTTCGGCATATTTCCCTAATTTTTGCACCTTTATTTATTTCGTCAATTGCTTTTAACTCATCTTCTTCCTTATAGTTTAAAAAAAAGTTCTTTTCGGCAGCATTTTGTATACAAAAATGTAGGTGGTCTATTACAGGAATAAACTCTTGGTATAGATATTACCAGTAGTAAACCACTGGTCTACAACTGGAACACTGTGAATAATGGTATTCTTTTTGTTATAATATTTTATTGCAGCATAATGTAAACCTACATGTAAGAGAAAAAATAAAAAAAGATATCAAATAGCTAAATCACCAGTTGTAGACCACATGGTATATTACTGGAAAATCATTCAATTCGTGTTCCAGTAGTTTACCAATGGCAATTATTGATTTGAATTAGCATTTTTAGTTTAAATAAAACGTAACATTAATGCTTCACAGTGCATAGTACGCAATTGATTAGAAAAGCGGTTACCGAAATTGATATAAACAAAGATTTAAACAGATTTAAGAAAACTTTCCGTCGACGCGTCGCTTATTAGAATGACCGCTCTAAACGAAGTGCACCATTGTCGTTATGAATTTTGCTTTAAAAACTGATGTGGATGGCGTGTTTGTCCGTTTTTTTACAACTATATGATTCGTAGGAGTATGGCATTTCTATCGAATATAAAAAAAGTGGCGGAAAATTCGACAGAACGTTAATATTTTAAGGTGAAAGTGGAAATGGTGCACTACTGGTGCCTGGTGCGGCACTGGTGCACCCACCCTAGTTAATAGCACGCATTAGCAACTGTACTCGAGCGCATAAATCTCATTAATGTGTAATCGGCTGTCTTCAATAAGAAGTGCAGTTTACCGTGTTCGAGATGAGTTCTGCGAGATTCCTGCACGAGTTCGATCGAGTTCTTGCGCTGGCGAATAAATGCGAGTTCAGATTAACAGTACTGGATGCATTTTTACGTTACGACATCCTGTGCTCAACTCGTGCACTCTGCGCACAGTATTTGCAAAATGTCGACTCGCAAACTAATAGACATATTTACTCATGCACCTGATAGAACGATATTAAGCACGCACGAGCAAACTTATTAACGAAGCGTTTCCGTAAAATCTCAAAAATTAAATGGTTTAGCAAATTATCCAGTGTATTGGAGAGGATTAAATATGAAAAGTTACGTTGCGTGCCTAGGAAAACTATTATTTTGCTTAATTTTCCATCAAGATCCAGGAGAATTATAATTTTCTTGATTGCGAGTTGAAATGGAAGCAACAAGCAACAATTTAATGAACTCAACGCGCTCAAGACACAACATAGAAGAATCTTCAGCCGCAAAAAACTACTCCAGTGGAGTAGTCAAAGATAAACCCTAATTGTAACTTGAGACTTTAAGTACTCGGTCTTGCACGGTGTTTAAGGCAACAAAAACTCCTCTCATCGGGCGAAAGAAGCGACGCTATATAATAATGGTCCGTTTAGATTATTTCGGCAGATACGAGGATGATACGGTTTTGAAACACCTCGCCGCTTGAAGCCGCTTCACAAAGTTAGCAAAGCGTATGAATATAAAATGTTAATTAATGTGATAATTAGCAAATATTACGAAAATCGAGAGCAAGCTCGCTCGAGAGTCGCTTGGTCGATGTCTAGGTTCTAATCTCGCTTTTTACGATGTCGTTCCCCTGATAACGATATTTTTGAGCTTCTATGTTAATAGAGGTAAAGAGCACTAATGTACAAAGGTTACTAAGGCTTTTCTAACTTACTACAACAGCAAAATTTCCGAAAAAGTTTTTATATTGAAAATATTAATATTTATTTAGAATGAAAGTACTTTTTAAGCAGACACTAAAATGTTGTTGTTAGGAGTAGAAGAAATAAATAGAACCTCGATCATCAAAAATTGCAGGCAAGCTAGAGCACACGAAGCGGTCGTATCCAACGATAAGAGTCGCTCGGTCAGAATAAACAACACATTTATCACCAGATTTGGCCGAGCCCGGGCATCATGCGAACGAAACTGATGGATAGATCCACCGGAACGCGAATTTTACGATTGGCAAACTGCTCCCGGTCGTTTCACCTTATGTTCCGGCATCCAATACTCCTGCTGGTTACTATTTTACACTACAAAGAAGCGCTCGACATTGTGAAAACACGAAATGTAGTCCGGCAAGTGTTTTCCTCCGAGGAAATACATAAATGCCAATGAAACATTTCGGCATACGAAGCATTTCAATAAGAATGAAATCAAAATAAGGCAAAACGAGTGGATGCTGCACGGCAAAAAGAATTCATGTAAAAGTTGAAATTCTGTCGGCTAAATTGTATTCGAGATATTCGAATGCACGTTTCTACGTGGATATCTAAACGACGAGAAATTGCAATGCGAAATTCGGCAATACACACAGAAACGTGCCGCGCCACATCTTTCATCATTTTTTATTTTTCTGCATTTTCTTCGCGGATGCCTTTTTGAAGGATGCGAACTAGAAATATTCACGAAAACGACTCCCTCATTACAGGAAATGTCTTTTTAGCGTTGTCAACGTCGGCGTGTGGCGAAGTAAAGGAGAGAGAAAAAGCGAAATCAATATACATTTCAACGCGATTTTTTTCGCCCGCACGCTTATGGTTTTTTATTCGGGGCGACGCTTGAACGAAGTGTGTGAAAATCCCGGACCTGCTTGAAAAGAAAACCGCCTAAGCGAAACCAATTCGATATCACAACCGGCGAGACGAAAACGCGTACTGTACATGCGAAGAAAAGCGTTCGTATGTGTTTTTTTCTTTGGTCTTGCTCCACAAACATCAATAATTATACGAGTGCAGAGGCGCTCGTCGTTACTGGCATGTATATCGAATCGTTTCCAGTGTAGTCAATGTGTTTCAGAAGAAAACTCGCAGCGAGCAGGGCACTGGAAGAGATGCTGTAACGATCGACTGGTACCTGTTTTATTCAGCGTTGCATACTCTCGAAAATAGTGCGGCTCGCCATGGCGTGCCGGTCGACATAATTATTTTGATTCTTTCTATCTACCTGACGCTAGTGCTAACAACTAGACCAGCATTCCGACAATATTGATGTGGCTGGAGTAACAGAAGATCAGATTTACAAAAAAACACTTCAAATTAAGTCGCGCCATGAAGTTACCAAGAAAAAGATGCTAGTTTAATTATATATCCAGAAACATTGTTCCTAAAACGCTTTTATGTGATTTCTACGATTGCGGTGTGTCGTTGAATGTGACCATAATTAAAAAACAATTTCGAGGATTCTGTTTCTAACCACATAAAAATTACTAAGACGAAACTATGCGACATTGAGATTAAAAGTTACTTTTTTCATCCCAAACCCTTTTTCTGCCCGAGCCTATTAAATGCGCGTTTATCTAAGGCAAGTACCAGCCAGACGACGATTAATGCGTCTTAATACATAATATATAAGCAGTTTTATGCGTATGTGTCTGCCGACCCTGTCGATCCCTGCAAACGACCAATAGAAGTGACTATCGCGTCAAGTCGCTAGCGATTCCCAGCCAGCAAGTGCCAGGACGCACAAAAGACGAAACTTCTAAAAAGACACTTTTACGGTCGCGAAACATCGACGCGACGAAGACGATGCATTTTACGCCCCTCTGGTTCGTTCGGCGTCTTTGTCGGTGCGCGAGTTGTTTCCCCTTCGCAGAACGCCGTTATTATTTGAAACGTGTATTACATATTTTTATACACATTTCGCCTTTTATTCTAAGATCTAAGCAAACGCAATAGAACGCAAGCGGGGCCGTCCGAACATAAACGTCATAATGTAAGGAGAGGCGCAATAAAAAGTCGCTACGTCGGTGTTTATATGTAATAATTCGTTATGTGTGTTTCTTAACGCCTCATTATCTTTACGATGTTATTAGCAGCACAATAGCCGAAGCAGCCAGCAAATCGAGTTTATTATGTTCTACCAAGAATATCTGCAGGATTTTGCAAGGGTGGCGCTGCATGCAAACTGATTTAAACGATAAAATGGCATGTTTGAGATTCAATCTTTGAAAGTATAATTTCTACATACCTAGCAGATTGTAAATAAATATCCATTAATGCGTCCAATTTATGTTTCACAATGTTATTTTATATTAACTAGCACACCTTGGTCCAACGTCTGTTATTGTAATGTAAATCCGTTCAAGCGTTCAAGAAAACCTTATCTTGTATTTGTTTACAACGCACCACTCTACGCACACATACACAACAAATCTCACAAATCCGTTTTTGCGGAGGCCGAACCTCCGCGTTTGGTAAAATACCCGCGGTCCGTGCCCGACCGCACTGTTTTGTAAACTGGAATGATGCTTCGGTATTGTGTGTTCCTGTGCTCTTCTCTGGTTCGTCAAAGTTTGCCCTCCACCACGTGGGAGAGTTGAACGTAGTTTAAATATAAATCGTCTGCAAACACAGCACTCTGCACGCACAAAAAACTCTCCATATAGCGCTATTATGCGCGTGTTATGAAATGTTTACGATCATATGTGACAGTATGACAACACACTCTCGAGTATCTCCTCTTTGTGGACCATGTGTGTGAGTGATCCTCTCTTATTTTTGGAGCAACAGCGGGCGATGTAAAAACACGTAAATAAATGCACCGATGGTCTCACGCGAATTTTTATTTTGGTCTTCACTAACTCAATGTCACTGACGGGTAAATGTTTAATGTTTAACTACTGAAGATACAATCGCGCGAAATGCACAAGCACATGGCGGTTGGTGTCTTGGTTAAGTAGAGAAATCAAGCGCGCACGCGGCGACAACTTCGTATCGCGTACGATTGCCGACTGACGGGGCGAGCGCATGTGAAGAATCACGAAGCGACTTAAGGCACAACTGGAGCTCGGTCGCGCATGAACTGAAGCAAAAAAGTCATCCAACGTGCGCGCCTCTTGCGTCCCACCACTCCGCCAACCCAACACATACACAACTCGTTCGCACGCCTTGCTACACATTCAATGCGTATTATCCAACTTCCAACTTGTTCGCATCCGAAGAGATATAGTTAAAGATACAGGTTGGGTTGTTAGGAACGAGTTGGAAGAGACGGCAGGTGCAACGCGCGTCAGACCTTCGGATCTGGGTTCACTACATACACCATAGGTTTGTTCTCAATGGCAAGCGGTGCGCAAGTTGCGAGCGGATGTAGCCACAGATTCGGGGACAGGTGGAAAGGGAATTATTCGAGTAATTATAAAAAATAGATGAGCGTCAGTGCAAGCGAGTGCAAGACACGAAGACAGAAGATATCGGTGGAACGCGCATATGCCTGGAAGCTGAAGACGATGAAAAAGGAGCAAATAAGCAAAAGAAAAACACCGGAGCTGGTTTCTTCGGGCTTCGGCGCTGGACATGCACAACACACATACTGGCAATCTCGCGCCGCCTTGGCTTTGATTTCAGTAGAATCTCACAAGATGCGCTTGAATCGATCTGATCTAGCTACGTAGCAGGTAGAAGAGGAAATAATTCTCCCAGTTTAAATGATACAACACGGTAGAAGATTGCTAGCGGCAACTTTTATTTCTCTCTTCTTGTTTGCGATTGCACTGCTTCTTTCGGTGTTTTACTTTTTGCGTTGTATTTCCAAGTCACGTTTTTGTTCCACATTATTGCATCCATCAGATCATGAATGAAACTCATTCAGTCGTTCAAAAAATCACTAATTAACCTGCTCACAATTTTATATTTTTATTTGTGCGCTGTTAGCAGTTCGTTGTATGCCAATAAATTATCGTAAATTTACGCTGGGATGAACAAGGTCAATATTTTGAAACAATTGAAAATACTTGATAAGGAATATTTTGTTCCTGTTGGAAGTTGGACGAAAACAAAAGGCACTCAGATAAATGAAACGAAACGAAATAGGAAATATTTTATGTGTCCGCTTGCCGAAAATTGACACGCCATACTCGTAAAATTATACCAGAAACGCGTCGGTCTTGCAACGGTTTTGCCATCGTTTTCTTTTGGCGAATTGGAATTGCGGCGGGAAAGGCGTTTGGCAAAGACCGCGCCGGAACAGACGGGAGCGTAAAACCGTCGCAGGCGTTGGCGCGAGCCGAAAACGAAGCACGTTGGAGGTCGATTATGGCAGGCCAGACGCATATTCCGATCCACTTCGTCATAATAATGTATCGACGGAGCCATCCATCGCCATTAAAAGTGTTTCCACGAAGAAAAATTGATAATTCGATTGAAATCCAAACGAACATACAAAGACGACACCAATGATGTATGTGCAAAATATAGATATTATAAAATCTCTGTCTTTATGGCCTCCTAAAAGCTCCTAAAAATTAACCCAAGTTTATTTTTTAATCTAATTCTTAACAACCCTCCGATCTTGACCACTTAAAACCACAGTAAACTGGTTTTAAAGTCATTAAAATCATAAGTTAGTACCTAGTTACCTTCACCGTTGAAAATTAAAATGACTCTTTTCCTATTTATAAATGACTGATAATCACATAAACAAATTTCAATCTGCATGTTTAATGAAATAAGTTTCGTGTCCCATGCCCGGGAACTCCTAGAGTCGAATTTAACGACGATGACTCTATTAAGTCGATGTCGAGCGTTTGCAGCATCCGCGTAAACCCACATTTGTTGTAGTTTATTACAGTCGAAATGGCGGCCACACCAAGACCAGTGAGTACGAGTAAGATTGAAAATGGTGGCCAGGAATTATGTAATATTAATGTATAACATGGATCACATTATTTCTTTATGGCTTCCGTCTGAATTTCCTTTCGTGTTCGAATGTGCATCCATTTACAAACACAATTTTCTATTTATGTGCATAATTTGAATAAATGTAAAAATAAATCTTAAAAATTAATATTTAAATATTGAATTACTTATGCTTGAATCAAGAGGACATAATCAGCTTAGCCAATTCGAAATGTAGATTGGTAAATCGGCGGCCAAAAGTTATCCGCGTCGCTGGAACAATAATTCCACATCGAATGCCTCCCGCGTTCTACTAAACCAAACGCCTTACTTCCCTAAGCACTGGGGATAGCAAGTCCGCGGGAAGTTTACAACGAACAGCAGAGCGGAATGAAAAAGCGCCGCGCCGACCCGTCCTCCCGGGCAGATTAAATCCCTTTTGCCATTTAAAATATAAGCAAAACCCGGACGCGTCTCTTCGTCAAGGAAAGACGGGGTTCTGGGAGGACAGGCGTACTATTTGTCTGTTCGAGTCGGGTCGGCCCCGGCGCGGCTTAAAACAAGTAAGCAAACCGGCAAACCGGAAAAAATCTCATCCGACCGACGCGAGACGCGGGGTTACGTCCAACAACGGACTGCTCGGCGTTAAGAGGCAGGCGCCGGTGATGTATTAAAAGGGTAATAAGTTAGCATTTTTAAAACAGCCGAGTCTTTGTTACGAAATCCCCGCTGGATGAAATACGTGCGGGAAAGTACAGTAGATGGCTCAAAACAAGGTAAAAATGTTAGCTTGAAAAATTACGCTCGCTATTTCTTCGTCTGAGTGAGGGAAGGTAACGAGGCGAGGCAATGGCGAGGTGGCGTCTTCGATGATATAGCCCTTGAACCTCCTGAAACCCACGCGGAGTGTACGACGGCAGCGTGTCGGTAATGGTTACGCGAGAGTGGTGGGCAAATAACGACTTCGGTTTGATGCAGGAAGCAAACGATCCGCATCCATCTATTCGAGTACAAACCGCACTTTATAGTCATTGTTAGCTACAATCCCTGGAAAGCACCGTCGAGAGGATAAGCGTCGGGCGCGCGCGCGCGCGAAAGTCAGTCAGTTCTAAGCCAGAACACGCCTCACGGGGTGTATAAGAATGTACGGACTTGAAGTGTACCGCAACCCTTTCCTCGGTATTTTACATTAACAGCGCGTTGAGCGTGGAGGTGTAGCACAAGAGAGCAAAGTTGCGTTGCGTGGGTCCGTAGGAGGGCAGGAACAACACCAGACAATATCCGACACTATCAATTATTGTGATGTATACGCTACTCGTAAAGCAAGCGAGTGGTGCGGTAATGAAATGTGCGCACGCCCCTAGTAACAACACCATCCAAGGGAAAAGACGCTCGGCGTATGTACACACAAGATGAAATAATACGTTGAAACAGACTTCTCTCTTACACTCCCAGAGAGTTTTGTGATCTTAGGGCGTACGCCACAGTATATCATGCATAAATATGCCGCGCTAACGATTTTGGTGTTTGGGACCCCTCAATACCAATCTGCTTGCTGTCAGAACAAATCTAGGTTGATCAAGGTAAAGCGATATAAACCAAATATCAGCTTTTGGAAATATCTAGTAATACGCAAATAATTAATTCCGGTTTGACATAAAAATTAATAGTCGATTTTAATGAGCATGGATGTTCAGTCAGTACTTTGATCTAATTGCAAATACGCTATCAACATGCGATATAAAGTTAAGTGTCTTGTTTGATCATGCTCATTACTTTATTTTTCTCGTTTTACGTTTATGTCGTGTTGGCTTTTAGCATTAATTAGCATAGTTCGTCGAATTACACCAAGACGAATTCGGTTACAACTTCCTGAACATTCCTAGTATTATAACTTTGAAAAAAAAAAGAATGAAATTATCGCTATAATCTTCCTTTTGGCGTGATTATAATCATGTGTTAATTGGATAAGTGGTCAAGGCTAGAGTGCGATATAAACATTTTACGACAGAGAAAATTATCCCAATCCGCATATATAATATAATAAACAAACATAAACAAATAAATGCTAATCGAAGCATTTTGATGCCCACATATTCTCAGAATGCCATCTTCAGCGTTAGGAAATTTATTACCAGCTATAAAACTTTTACCTTTTACTTGTGGGCTGTGGTTCATTATAAATTATTAGATAATCAACCTAATTTGCACTCTGCCATTTCAACTTTCATCGGCGATCGGAAACCATGTCGAATATTATGAACTAAACATGTATCTAGTTTATGAAACGTACTGAAAGCACCAAAACTGGAGATTATTTCCTATCGTGCACATGCTGCGGTGTTTTTATAATTAAACTTGCCGAAGAGAAAAGAAAGCACTGTCACAGCGAATTATTGGCGTAGGTTGTAGGATTTACTACAATGTGCTTCATGTGAATGTATTGGATATAATGGGCCACTTCTAATAATGTTAATTTCATTCCTACGCCTCCAAGTTTCACTTTTAGTGGTCGGACGCATTGAAACATATGACTACGCAAATTGTAGTAATGTAGCGACACAAGTTTAGTTCGGATCTATGAATGTACAGCGCAATGGCGGTCAATGACGTAAGTGTTTCCTGAAAGATAAAAATGTGCAGCACATTTACAATTAATTATACGCTGAAAGTAGGGCGACTTTGCGCCAGCGTGCAGGTATAAATTAAATTCAGCTTAGTGTTAAACTCAAGAAATCCAACATTAAATATACTAGGTGTTAGGAATTAGAAAAATAATGTTACCGTAAAATTTTCGTTGTAAAATAAAG